AGAGAACGATGAGATCTACAAGGATATATAAAAGTTGTAGAAAACGGAGTTCGTATGTGAGAGTTACAGAATTTCAAAGTTTAATATTACCGTCACGTACGCTCAGGCGCAGAGCGCCTGTAACATTCCAAAAATCATAGAAATTTTAAAATTTTAAAATCAACCATTAACCAACATTGTTTACAAAAAGAGTCATTGATTCGAAAGTATTATCCAAAAACAGAGTTTTTCCCAAGACCCAATAACACCGAATAGGAAGATGTGCACAATCATGCCTTCGCTTTCCCGTGATCATCAAAAGTTCCTGAAACAATAAACTGAAACTGTAAGCCAAAGCTTAGTGAGTTCCTCCAAAGTACCATCACACAACATATAAAACACATAGATTAGCATGTTGGGTCCACAACCTCCCGGTTGGATTACCCTACATACCACATACTGTGTCGACAACCTCCTGGTTGATTACCCTTGGCCTACAACCTCCCGGATGGAATGTCCTCACCTACAACCTCCCGGTTGGAATGCCCCAGTCAGTTGACTGACAGCACAAAGCAGTAGTCTCAACCCCAACGTAGCATGTCGACATATAACATATAATATACATACTCAACAGACAGGTAATTATATAGCGAGTAATCACAGATAGTCCTACAGATATACCAGTCTAACACATATCAATATGTATCAGGTAATCAACCAGATCTATCGCATACTCAACATATCATAACCGGTATCTAACAGGATATCAATCCATTGGGTCGGCCTTAGTGCCTTCGACCCGTAAGTACAATGAGGAAAACTCACCTTTCAGTCTGAACACAAGCTAAATAAATCTTTGCCCAGACAACCGGCTCTACTTGACACCTATTATCCTAAAATATTGCCCAACTTAATTTAATACCAAATTATACAAAATATCCTTTGGGTCAAAATAGGTCAAACTCCACAAACTAGCCGAGTCAACCCAGCCGAGTACGTTGGGCGTACACATTTGTATGTTGGGCGTACTCGATCGCAACCAAAAAGAAACGGGGACCTAACCGCGTACGCGCAACGTACCATCTGGTATGCCCATCATACGCAACTGAAAGCTCTCAACCCATTAAGTGCTTAATACTTAAGTCTTTTTCATCCAATTTACAGATCCAAGTCCCAAATGTTGTCCTTGATCATAAAGTTTCCAACATTATGGTCTTGCATGGCCCTAAAGTGCTTAACATTAAAAACCCTAACTACCTAACCCATTAAGACCTTGTATCTCATGCATGGAAGGGAAGAAATGATCAAGACTAAAATTTTATGCTTCTAAGCACCTCCAAACGTCTGAAAGGACAGCTTAAATGGATTGGAGTAGCTCATACTCAAAATAGAAAACTAATGGGACCAAAAGGACACAAACTTCATAGCTAACTTAGATTTATGCATAGCTTCATCAAGATCAAAGCTTTTTACCTCCAATTGATGCCAAATGGTGATGAGATTCTGGATCCAAAGTGCTCCACTCTTCTAGGATGGTTTCCTCTTCCTTCTTCCTCCTTCAAGAACACCAAAATGTATACTCAAGGCTCAAAACTGCTCTCAAATGGATAAGGGTTGCTTAGGGGTCGAAATAAGGCTGGAGGCTGATGGATGAAAGGAGCCTTGAGAGTTAAGGATGAATAAATAATGCATAAACCCTAAATATTAAGGTTTTTAGGTTCAGGCCACGTACGCCCCACATACGCTTGGGTACGTCCAGCATACACATGCAGCTCCAAAAATTACAAAAATTCCATTTAGGACCAATTTACAAATAATTCTCATACCAATGGTGAAAATACAAATTCCTGGAAATTGAGATGTTACAGCGCCGCGTGCACCTCACACTTGATACGTCTAGATATGGAGTGACGTGACACGCTGAGATGACGACATGTGGCAGCATCGTACGGTTCGAGCGCATATTGCATGGCGTGTAATGCGCGGCGTGCAGCCCAAACTCCTATAAATAGAAAGTCTCGGCCGAACCCTTCTAACACCTCAATACACATCTCTCTCACCCTCTTAAAATTTGTGTCAATGACTCCCAAGCGCCTCTCTAGTGCCGAACTTGTGGTTTTTCTACCCTACATCAATGGTTTCATGAAATACAGGTGAGTTCACGTCCCCATTTTCCAAATCTTTTCCAGGGGGGGATACATGTTTAAAATGAAACTTTACATAGTTATCACTACTTGTAGTTACATAATTATGCTCATACCATTAGGATGATATTATACCCGGTAGATACTTTGTCCAAACTCTTTAGCTAATATTATGTCTAATCGTTATGCTAAACCACTATGACAGATAAGATCATACCTAGTTGTCATGTTGTCCAGTTGCCAGGTAACGCTGAAACTCGTTATTATAGCCACCCTTTGGATAAGCTTAGTACCTAGTGTTACTCTGCCCATACTCAGCTATGCAAAACACACTAATTACCAAGAAGCGGAAGAGAGTGACGCCGAGAAGATAAAGTTAAGTGTGTTTATATGTTATGGTTTAATTAATATCATTTTGTAGTCGCATTCATTTAATTGAACCTGATTAGTTTTCGTGATATAGATTGTGAAATTGTGGATCAGTATTGCTAAGTTTAATGAGCAATATAGGTTGTAACTTCATATTGGTTTTGCTTATTTAATGTTAGTTCGTGTCTAGGTCAATAGTAAATATCTTTTTGGATTTTTCTCATTAAGAAATAAGAATAGGGAAACATGGTCTGAAGACTGATAAATTAATGATGTTTTAGCAGTCAATTTGGAAGTTATCATCTTCCTCTCGGTCACGAGAAGAATAAAAATGTGAAAACAAATTAAATAGAGAAAAGTCAATGACTAATTAGCTTTGAATCTTGTTCGTAAAAGCATGGATATGTAAGGCAGTCCTTACTTGAATAAGCAGACTGATAATTTAATGAAGTTTTAGCAGTCAATTTGTAAGGAAATCCTTCATTGAATAGATAGTCATTTAATAAAATGATCAGTACTTTGAACATTATACTAGTAATTATAGGAATCGGTAAACAACGAAAATTGAATCCATTGCACTTTCTATAAATCAACCATAGGGAATAGGTTAATTAAATCTAAATGGACGTACTCTTTTAAATCTTGTTTTCAAAACTATTTTCTACTTTGTCTTTAGTTTAAGTACTTGTTTGCTATTTCAAAATTTGATTGCTATTAAGTTTTCTGAACTTGCAAAATCAGAACAACCCTCACTTCTTTTTATTTGCTTAATTAGTTAACTTCTAGTAGATCTTTTTAATCCAAAATCATTCTTGTTCCTCAAGTGTTCAACAACCCTTTCTTACCTAGAAGTATATTATTTCGCGATTAGGTACACTGCCTAATTATGTTTTAAATTGGTTTAGATTTGATAGGATAAATAAATTAAAAACTAGTATATACAAAAAGTATTATATATATATATATATATATATATATATATATATATATATATATATATATATATATATAGAGGTTCCGAAAAGCTACTTGAAGTAGTTTTTTATTATTAGTTTTTTGTTTAAGTAAAAGTTTAAAAATTATACTGTCAGACGATGATTTTCGTTTTAGTTTGAGTTTTCTAAAAGTTAAAAGTTCACTACCAAACACGCTTTAAAGTAAACTGGATGAAGTAACGAGGTGAGGGCGTAAACACTACCCCGTGCAGTGGCGGATGCAGCTTATGGTAGTGGGGTGTATTGTCCCGACTTGGAAATGTGTTCCATCCTATATATTTAAAATATGATGCCAATAAATCAATATCTTGTTGAAAAAATCGATATATGGCACTCACTTTGTTGAAAACCCCAAAGAAAAATCCTTAAAAGTTCATAATTTATTTATTTTTAATTATTTATATATAATGGACCAGCGAAAAAACTAAGAGAAGTCGAGAACACACTCTAAACATCAAACCCTTGATGTTCATCGGTGAGTGTATTTTGTTTACAAGTTGAACCGCGAAATCACACTTAAATTCTTTCAAAGCTGAAATAGCAAAATTCACGTCTTTGATTGCATGATGAGACCATTTCTTTGTTGTTGTAAACTGTTTTTTTAATCATTGTTTCAAGATGCAATGACCTTCACAAAAAAGAGAGAAGGAATAGTAATCATTAAAAAAATAGTTTAATGGATGAAAAGTGGCAAAACCGTAGTAGAGGGACCTGTTTTGCCATATGTAGAAAATATTGAAATCTGGATTTGAATTAAGATGAGGGTCGGTTTTCTTTTTTTTTAGGAAGCGGTGTACAGAAAACGGTTATTCAATCCCAGTCCCACATGCAACCGTTTTCTTTTTCAATCTAGAGCAAAACCCATCCCCATCCTTTATTAAACTGTTAAATGATTTCAAAGTTATCAAAATTCATAGCTTTGATTGCGTTATGTGAAATCTTGGAATTTTATAAGGAAAGCTTTTAGTATAACAAGCCCCAAACAGCAAACCCTTCATGTTCCATAACGTCATTTGGTGTTATTTCGCGTGCAATTTTAATTATATGTTTGATGTAGCACATCGGTCTTAAGAACATGGTTAGCAGTTCAAGCTCTGATAGTTACCACATTGTGGATGATGATGAATACGCGGAAGAACTGCAACTTGAAGAGTCTCTCATGTCTTCAGAATCCCAAATACGTGCCTCTATATCATCATCATCAACATCATCGCAAAGGGATCCATCATCACCATCATCACAAAAGGATACATCATCATCATCAGCATCACAAAAGGATGCATCATCATCATCACAAACGAATGAATCATTATCGTCCCAAAATGATGTATCATCATCATTTCAAATGGATGTATCATCATCATCATCATCACAAACCAATGCATCGTCAACGGATGTTTCATCACCATTATTTGAAACGGATGCATCATCATCATCATCCCAAACGGATCCACCATCACCATCAATTCCTGCAACTTCCAAACCTTCACATGTATTGAAGAGGAAACAGCCAATGGTGACATCTAAAGATACCAAAGTACTCAAGAGTTTCTGTGGCATTTGCATGGACACTAAAGCTCCATCAGAAATGTTTTCAAACGCAACCGTTTGTGGCCATCTTTTCTGTTCAGATTGCATACGTGGACACGTATCTTGTAAAATCAAAGAGAACATTGTTTCGGTGAAGTGTCCAGAACCAAAATGCAAAGGGGTAATAGGACCTGAACTTTGTCGATCCTTCCTCCCAAAAGAAGTTATTGAAAGATGGGAGAACGCTTTGTGCGAGTCGTTGATCCTGGGTACTCAGAAATTTTACTGCCCGTTTAAAGATTGTTCAGCCATGTTGGTAGATGATGGTGGAGAAGCCGTGACATCATCGGAATGCCCAAACTGCAACAGATTGTTCTGTGCGCAGTGTAAGGTGGCATGGCATACGGGGATGCGTTGCAATGACTTTAAGAGGCTAAAGAAGAATGAGAGAAATCCAGAGGATATAATGTTGATGCAGCTTGCCAAGAACAAAAAATGGAGAAGATGCCCAAGCTGCAACTTTTATGTGGAAAAACGAGACGGTTGTCATCACATTACTTGCAGGTTAATATTTTATTTTGCTTTTGTTTTTTTTTTTATAATAAGATTTAGGGTACTGACTGGTCTCTTGTTGCAGATGTGGGTATGAGTTTTGCTACGGATGTGGAAAGAAGTATGATAAAAGCCATGCCTGTAATCCATAGATTCTTGAAGTAGACGTTCTTTTATTTCTGATTTTCAAGCCATATTTAAATTGTCTCATTCTATTTGCACATTCTTGCCTTTTAATTTAAAGTTTCAATGGTTTTTAAAGAGAGATGAAAAGAATGTTTATTTGAATGTATGTACATCTCTCTTAACCTCCAATAAAATGTCCCGTTTAATAATAATAAACTAGTTTTATACCAGTCTTATAGATGGTTGATCGGTGTAATAAAAAAAATATTAATTTTAATATGTGTTATATTTATCATTATGTAATCTATTACCTTGCATTGTACAATCACAGATATACCCAAATGAACAACATATGAACCAAAAAAAACAATAAAATAAAAAGAATAGCAATTGATTAACACATAATTAAATAAATTTAAATTAAAAACAGAAACTTAATTATTTTTAAATAATATGATATGGTTTTCAACCTTCTACTAATCATAGAGTGGGAGTCGGCATCGGTCAGAAAATCCGACGTGGGCACGATCGATGGGGCCACGAACTCGGCATGCCGAGTTCGGTGGCAAAGCGTGGATTTTTGTCGAGCTACTCCTTTCTTCTTCCCCACTCGGCAAATCTCTTCCTCCCCACTCCCTATGTTTGGCATTACGAAGCAGAAAATGATGTTTGGTTGAAGTGGAGTTCGGTGCACTCGGCACCACTCCCCTCAGCCTAACAGTATCATGTCATTTTGACGTTACATGATCTGCTCATGGATTTGATTCTTTTAAAAAAAGCATGGAGACATACTATAAAATTAACACACCATTAATGGAGAGAGAGTGAATTGCATACTTTTTTCTTAACGTCACGTTCATTCATAAAAGGAGAAGTGATAGTCATTGTGGTCATTATATATTTATACATTAATCTCTCTTTTCTCCAGGTCATGCTATGATCTTTAACCGGCTAAAAACTTGCGAGGAAAGTGATAAATCTCTAATCTGAACCTTCATATTTTAGAACTTATTAATATAATCGCTAAAAACTTGTGAGGAAAGCAAAAAATCTTTTTACATGTTGTGGCATTACAACTAAATACTTCTATAGAGAAAAAGATGAAGACAATGTCTGTCATAAATGTCTATACATAACAGACAAATGTCTGTCATTGAAAGTCATGTCGTAAAGGAAAATGACAGACATTTGATGTGTCATAAAATTTACGACATATTTTTATGACCAACAATTAAGACATACATGCACAACATATGTTTTCAACATACATTTACGACTGACTTTGTATGTCATAATTCGTAACATTTTTTTGTAATTATGACAGACATTTACGACATGTTTTGTACAATATGATTTTTGACATATTTTTACGACTTTGTGTATATATATATATATATATATATATATATATATATATATATATATATATATATATATATATATATATATGTTTTTACTAAATCTTAATCAAACTAAATTACATATTTAATGTCTAATAACGGAAAATAAAATATCATATATATATATATATATATATATATATATATATATATATATATATATATATATATATATATATATATATATATAAGCTTATACGAACTATAGTGTCAAATTCAAAAATACGGTCCAAATTCATCAAAAAATAATTGTCCAATTCATATCACTAGTAAGTAAAATTTATGACATAAGTAGCTCATTCTTCACGCACCCTATCAAGCTCGACCTCTGTATATTCATTAATTCTTCCTCCAAAACTGAGACACAAACTAATATATTAGCAAAAAAACTATTAAAGAATTATATATGTAAATATTCTACAACACTTCAAGTCCATCAAGTAACTAATAGATTTACTTACATTGTTATTCAACATTTCAAGTCATTCATCAACAACCGCTTTCATGAACTTAAGAACATAATACCCGCATTCTGTATAACCAGGCTGAAAGGGACACTGTACAATTATATAATAAATTGATCAGTAATATATATATATATATATATATATATATATATATATATATATATATATATATATATATATATATATATATATATATATTAGTCAAACCCAATTGAAATTAAAGTTGCAGTTTGTGCTAACCACAACATTTATCTAGTTGACTTTAACCTTTTTCTTTGATCCACTTTGTCTTGCGTGCAAAGACATTAATGCTCTACAAAAAAAATTAGATGAAATAGGTCAAAGCCAATACAGTCTATTAAAAGAAAGAAATTGTTCATTTGTTCATGGTAGGACAAGGGATTGTCTGGTGGCATATCAAGTTGGTGCTTACATCTTTAAAAATTAGCATATTTTACATGATTTCATCTTTTTGGTTTATTATATCAATTTCTAGCTTCATAATTTTTTTAAATCTTATGGTTTTGTATTGGTCAATTTAGGGAATCTATGAAGATCTAGGAAGCCATACTTACAGGTGGAGTGAAGGTATAGTTTTCCTTGATGTACATGTATGAAATAAAAACATACTTTCACCTACCTACACATTATAGCATCCTACTTTTCTTTATTTATATTAATGAGTTGCCTTTTTAACTTTTTTCTTACTAAAGCATTTTACTTTAATTTTTTTTAATCCAAATGACAACATTTTACTATAACTGATGGTATTGCGCGTGTAGAGGGAGGGTAGCATGTCCATACAAGGATGAAGGATCTCTGCCTTTTGGAGGATGGTAATCAACTGGCCGGGCAATCAATTGTTGTAATAAAAATTACAATAATGGTCCCTATTAAATAGTAAATATATATATAAATGACCCATGTGTAATAGTGTAAAACACAGTTACAGAAATGCCCATGTGTCAGCAAAATGTAAATATTACAAAATGTTCCCTATGTTTTAATATGCATAACTATAAAAATAGTTCCTGCGTAATAATGAAATTATGGAAATGGTCCCTTTGTAATAACAACGAAATGTAAAAATTACATAAATGGTCCCTTTGTAATAGTAAAATTATAGAAATGGCGCATGTATAATACTGTAAAACAAAATTATAGAAATGGTCCCCTGTGTAATAGTAAATTTACAAAAATGGTCCCCATGCAACTTTATTGTAAGAATGTTGCCTATTATATTCCATGAAGATTAATTATTTGCTTTCTTTTTTGCAGGTTTACAAGCAACAATATCACTATGATGATTGTGGTAATAGCGTTACAACAATTACTTAATAAGATGTGTTAGTAGATGAATTTTTATATAGATTTTTTTTTCGAACAGCAAATTGAAATAAAAGCTAGCGAAAAACTAGCTAAACCAAAACAAAACAATTAGTTCAAGATAGGGTTTTTCAACCAATCAGTCCAATTTATGCTAGCCTTACGATTCCTAGCACTATACCAATTAAAAGAGAAAGAAACAACGGAATCAAACAAAACTTCCTTTTTCATTTTCTTGTTCCCAAACAGGATATCATTTCGAAACGTCCACAACACCCAAAGCAAAGTAGAGCAAACTGAATCCATAATCAACCTTTTAAACCTCACCGTCGTCAACCCATCGACCCACTGCAACTGCTCTTCAACACTTTAAAACGAAGGAATATGAAGGTCCACCCACTTTGCCACCTTAAGCCAAAGATGAAAAGCCACTGTACAACTAAAAAACAAATGATTCACGCTTTCTCGTGCCTGTTGACACACCGGACACAGCACCGAAGTAATGTCTAGCCCCCTTCTATCCAAATTATCTCTCGTAGGAAGTCTATTTAGCACCACTCTCCAAATAAAAATATTAATTTTTATTGGGAGCCACGTATTCCATCTAGTCTCCACACCAACTAAAGGAAGACTAAGCCGATCTAAAAGCAGTCGAGTCTCTTTCAGCAAATATGTATCTTCGTCTCCAATAGCCCACCGCCAAGAATCCTTACTAGTTGAAAGGCGCACCGACTGCAACAGCGTCATCAGTTGAAGAAGCTGATCAGCCAAAACCCCACCATCAAACATCCGAACCCATTGAAACCTCCAGTCATGCCCGTCCCAATAGTCACTAACCAACGCATTAACATTACTAGCTACAGCACATAAACGAGGAAATCTAGCTCTAAGCATAATGTCACCACACCAAACATCATTCCAGAAGCTAATACTTTGGCCATTCCCCACCCTCCTACATATAGAGTCGAACAGAATTAAGCCTCTATAATGCATATCCCAAACCGTATTAACAATCCCCAGCCAAACTCCTTTCTTTGGTTTGGACCGAGAGGCCATGCAAAACCCTCCATCACTCCCGTAACAGCTTTTAATGAGGTCCACCCAAAGAAGGTTAGAGCTATTCAAAAACCGCCAACGCCATTTATAAAGCAATGAGTAGTTAAACGACTCCAAACTACCAATGGAAATGCCACCATTTTTTTATCATTTAACACCATCTCCCATTTAACCCAATGTAAGAATCTTTGACGATCATCAGCTCCCCAAAAGAATCTATCTCTACTTCTTTCCAACTCCTTACAAACCGAATTAGGCATCCGAAACATGGAAAGAAAATAAATTCCCAAGCTGCCCAGCACTGATCTAACCAAAGTTAATCTGCCTCTAATAGATAACATCTTTGATTTCCAACCCGAAAGTTTTTTACGGAACCTGGTAAAAATTGATGCCAACTCAATTTTTATATAGATTCATGCCCACTAACATCATATACTCCTTACGTTTTGCAGAAAACTGGACAAAGTAAAGAAATGGTCCATGTATAAAAGTAAAGTTACAAAAATAGTCCATGTGGGATTTTGGATAAACAATAAAAGTTAAAGAAATGAATAATAGTAAATTCGAGAAATAGTCTCTATATAACAGTGGAAACTACAACTTCATTCCAAGCTCATTTTTTTGTTACACCACATGTGCGTAAAAGTGGCATGTTATACTCTTTTAGAGAAAAATATGTATTATGGTTATAATATGAGAATAAAATCTTAATATCTTAAATACTAAAAGTATATTGTTTTAATCATTTAGAGTTTCAACATCCAATGCGTAAATAGG